TCATCATTCAAATAGGACATAGACAAATATTAAAATCCAGGACATAGTTTTGAACTTTTTTCATTATAATTGCACTTTATTGCATTTATTGACGACATACTGTCCGGTAATAATTCACATTTTACACTTTTGTATTTGTATACATATGAATTAATATTATGTAGGATCAAACTTCTAATCTTCAAATCTAGGTTTCAAATAAACTAAGGCTCTCGTTTCGATCTTTTGTGGGCGTGACGTGATACATTTCAGGTCTGTAGCTCTCGTTCCTATTTCTCCCGCTACACTTCAAGTTCCTGACCCGTTCCTTAATCCATCTTGCCCAAATGCCCAATTATGGCTTGATCTCGTACATTAAGCAGTCGAAGTATCTAAACTTCCGAAAAAGAACAAATTTGGAAATGGCTGGATTCGAACCGACGACCTTCGAGTTACCATCCCAAATTTAAGCCAAGCGCCTTACATATTCGACCAACAAGGCACTTAACTGCTTCGTAACTCCTTTCGTAACGACAAAAACTCAATTTATAAATTAAATATGTGAAAATTATGAAATTTAAGTTTTTAAAATAATTATGCACGCATAGTTTTTGTTTGGTGAACCCACATATGATTCAAATGGATTCAAAAATTTCAATTTCATAAACATTACTAGACTTATTTTGATTTGCACATTTTTAACTTGGGGTTTTATTTCTAAATGCCTAATTTAAACCATTTGTTTGGAATTAAGAAATCTTCCCACGTAATTATTTTAATCTTCAAGTTCAGAACACGCTATGTAATGTTAGAACATTTTCGAAAAGTTTCCATTTCTTGAATTAAATGATCATTAATTAAAGTAATTGACAACTGAAAAAAATAACCAGTATGAAGGCACGAAATACGTGAAATATTAATTTTTTCTATAAACATTTTCATTGATTAATGAAAGCGTATTGAGTATTAAATTAATTGATCTACGATATTGTGTAAAAATTCTGACAGAATTATCCAGTCAATGTTTATAAAAATGAGGTTAAGGAAATATGGGAAATATTTTGAAATAATTAATTAAATGAAGTCTTATTGTTTGGTATCCGAAAGGTTAATTTTAAAAATTAAAGATAAATTGGACATGATATGTTTTCAACCTTTCCGTTAAATTTAAGTTCGTAAAGACTTTACCTTTAGATAATTCTCGAACAGAACACAAAGGTTAAATTAGCAATAATTGATAACATTTACAAGATAAAGTTTTAACAATGCAGCTCAGTAAACAAACAGCTTTTGTCTTCTCTACATCCTTTGTACTACTTCCATATATTTGGATACATGAAAAGGTAGTTTATGTGCAGAAGGCATACAATAAATTTGTATTGTATTCCACACAATATAATATTTGATATATTTAGTAATTTAATGGCTTGTGTATACTAATTATGACAAGGCCCAACAATTTACAGGACCTTTTTTTCTATATCAATGTCTGCTCCAAATGAGCTTTTATATTATGAAGTTGTTGTACCTCTAATTATTGTTTACCATGAATTACACCAAGTCTGCGGGACTTTATTGTGCTTTTGACAATTAAAATGAATGAATGGAATTAAAAAGATACAGAACAAAGTGTACTGCTACTGAATTATGAAAGCTAATATTAATGAGCTATTTGTAAAGTATAGATCCATTCCTGTTTTGTATAATTTGTTTCAGCTTGTAATTGATTTTATTCACACTAATTATTTTTCCAATATCAATTCTTTAAAAGCGTAACTCGGAATGAAAAATTTATAAATCAATTTAACTTTGACATTTTAGTGGGAATTCATTAGGTTCGAAACATTAGACTAAACACTTTTCCATCAAGATACACAATTACCTCCAAAACCTGCAATTTTTCATGAGAATGCTTTTAAAATTGACCCCAATTTTGTTCATGCTGTGATATACTTTCTACAAACAGGCAAAAGAATGACACCCTGCGGAGATTAAATTACAGTTGGCCTAAGCACAACACATTCTTTTTGATTGTGCCTTTACAATAAAAAGAAAAATTAATACATCCGTACGGACTGTAGGTGGAAATTGTTATGAACTGTAAAACATTTGCAGACATCCTACTTAGAATTTTCAAAAATTGTGGATAAAATGTCAATTGTTATGGCTTGTAGCATCTGACATAAATGATGGAGGACGTTAAAATTTTAAACTATTTTACGCTCCCAACGGCAATTTTAATACCTATTTACGTGGGTTTTCTGTTTTTCACTTTCTCTTTATACAAGATCTACCTTCAAAGCGTAGATTCAATCCTTCTATACAAGACCATAACATTCTCAGAACGTAGACTTGTTCTCAGAAATTTTATTATTAAGAGAAGAAGGAGTTTAACTTTACACGACCCTTTGATAAACAAAAAAACAACAATTCACTAGAAATTTTGATTAAAACAAAAAGTCTTTGAAGGAACATTGATGAAATTTTTTAACAACATCCCCTGCTCTAAATCAAAAAACCATACCGAATTTCAAAACATCCACTCTTGATGAAGGAAATTAAACCAAGCATTAACACAAAAGAGCATTAGCATCCCTTGGTGTTGTAAGACAGAGATAAATCACACTGATTCACTAGTAATTTATCTACTATAAAACATTTTAAAAATAATCATATCCATCAGTCATTCATCCCTATTTCTATTGTACTTATTAACAAAAGAATTCACAGGAAGAAAAGAGAAATTTTTTGTGTCTGAAAGTGAAATAATTATTTACATATAAATTCACGTACATAAGGGACGGTTGAATAAAAACACTAAGAAGATGATGATATCCTCAGTTCTGTTTTATATGTAGATGACATGTGAACATATTAAGGGTATGTTTGTCTGCATGGTATACTAAGGGATAAAGTGTTGCTTAAAACATACTTCTTTGATAACTGTAATAAATTATAAAAGGGCAAGACCGCGAAAAAAGTGAACAAATATTGAAAGTTGATTTACTCAGAGTTCAGTTGTTCAATCGTCACAATTCTTTCAGTGGCTTATAGCAAAATATAAAAACTAAATTTTTAAACCAAAAAATTTAAAATGGCGACTTTATAACTTAGTTTAATTTCTAAATTAAACATTCAAAGTGATTTCTCTACAAGAAGGAAGCTATAAAAGGAGCTGATATGTTCATAAAAGTTGTTGAGAATCTTATTTTCTTTCATTTATCATACACACATTTTCAAATTAATACACAAAATTAGTTAAATTAACCAAAATTGATTTTACATATAAATTTAATGAAATTTTCATTGTTGTCCCTCAAAAAGCAATAATTAATGATAAATCACAACTTTCCTGCAAGAGTTTACTGCAATAAAGTCTTCAAATTGAGTTAATTTAACTAAAAGTTTATTTTAAAACTCTTTAATCAACTCAAAAATTTAAATTTTCAAAAACGGTTAAAAATTTTTGGTTAAAGTTTTTAAAGTTTTTACTTTTTTCTTGTTCTATAACATTATATTGTGATATGTTTTGCTAGAACTAAGCATATTTGATGTATAATTATCATTTTACATCATAAAATTAAAAGAATATCTATTTAATTGCCATTTAAAGGCAATTTTACAAAAAGAACCAAAAAAAGTTAATTATACTACTTTTTTCAAAATTTTTTGGCTTCTATCATAAAGCCAAGGTCTAAAACTATATTTGTGTCAAGAAAAAAGTTAAATAAGTTAAAAATTGAAAGTAAAATATAGGAAAATAAGGTTAAAAACATTAATTAATTTAACTTATTAAGTCGCCATTTTGTTTTTATTACTTTTTAATGATAACTGTAGCTTTAAACTAATTATTGCTGAAAAAACTATCGAAATCGGTGTAAAACCAAGCGAGATAGACTAGTTTTAGTGAAATTTCAAATACCCTTCCCAAAAATTCAGTGTCAGATTTTGCCTATTTTCAGGCTCTACAGCCTTAAGTATAGTACTTCCAATAAAAAGTTACATACCAAAAGATAGGCATCAAAAAGTTCTATAAAACAGTATGTTTAGTTTTACTGTAAGTATTTTCGTTACAGAGATATAAACGAAATAACAGCAAAATCTGACACTTAATCGAAAAACGGTCTTGCCCAAAACATTTTAAAAATAAATACATATTTCAATATAATTGATGTATCTGTCGCTAACAAAATAAAAAGAAAAAAAAAAATTCTATAGAAAAATATTAAGAGCACCCTTAACGAATTGCGTGAGAAAAACAACTGACTGCTTTATTTATTCTTGCATGCTTTTAGTACAGCACATGTGATTGCTCTCTCAGTTCTCTCTCATCGAGACGAAATAATGGAAAGTGAGAGAATTTGGAAAGGGATATTTGGATGAATGGAAAGAAATTGAATGAAATCGTTCTCAAATATAAATTCACAACATTACAATTTTTAGAACAGTTTGTTGCCGCTCGTGATACAATTAAGAAGTAAGAAAAGGAAGAAGAAAAAAAAATTAAGAAAAAGAAATGTTAAAGTGTTGAATGTTCTGTCACATTATATATTAATGAAATACTATTATCTCATCATTAAAAGCCGATAAGAGTGAATTCAAGACGAGTGGATTACATAGTCAATTAAAATGGATTATCAGATTACATACATGTTGTAGATGTAATTTAACATGTCATATTAATAATAATGAGGATTTAATAAATTAATTATTGTGGATTGGTGTAATAAAAAATAAATAAAAACATTTATGACGTAAAGAAATTAAATTAAAAAGTGAAAAAAAACAACAGCAACAAAATTGAAATAAAATGTTTGTGAAAATAAAAATTTATGACATGCCACAAGAGATTGTGGAAAGCAAGTGTTAAAATTTCGCAAGCACACTGCACACAAAAGAAGTGAAAAAAATAACACAAAACATACGGATTTATGTTAAAAAATAAATATTTATTGTAGAATAAAAAAAAAATCCACAAGAAGAAATAAAAAAAAGTGTGAAGAAGTGAAAAATCAAAAACAATGAAAAGGATTAAAAAACAGCAAATTGGATATTTTTTGCATATTTTTTTCTCCCTTACAATTCTCTTTTCTCGGCAACATTTTGTGTCTGGTATGGTCTGCACTTACGAACATAAATAAAATTCCATCCATTTACTTTCTTTTTTATAACGTACATAAGTTGTATAATACAAATTTGCGCTCTATTGTGTCGATAATAGATTTTTATGTTTTCTTTCCTGTTTCTTATACACTCTACTTTGTTATATTGCTATCATTATTATTATTATGTGATGATGTGCAAGGAAACAAAACAAAGGCAAAAAATATATATATATATTGAGATGGATAAAAACAACATTAGACCACCTTCCTATGCTCTTCTTCGCAAAAAAAAAAAAGCTGAAAGCGGAAAAAAATTGTTAGTAGTTCAGGTTTACTGACTTAATTTTTTTTTGTTTTAGAAATTTAATGGCGTTTACTGATATGATTTAAAGTCATCAGATAATTTTTTGCAAGTTTGGCTGCATATTTGGATTTGTACTGAGACGATATAAAATCCTAGCTAAAAATTAAAAGTATTGTTCGAAAAAAATTTACTACAGAGAAAGGGACAGAAGGTCTTTCATTAGATTGCTCTCCAAACCACAGCTACTCTACCTTGAGAAATGAATTTCAAGATTCTCGTTTTTTTTTGTTCCGTTCCAAAATAGCGCTTTTCATGTACAGAAGATACTTTGGCAATCGATTGATTGATGTTCATGAGTTTTATGGCTTTATTTCTTCTTTTACTTTCATCTACGACAGTTTATCGCACACCATTCCTCCCAACCTTAAATCAGCCAACCATCGTCAATGACTATGAATGATGTTGATTGATTTTTTAAGATGTAATTTTATTAAAATGATATCATTGATGCGTAATACGTTATTCTTTTGACAACGGAAAGCTTCTTGATATTTTCTTTCCACTTCATTGTATTTGTGACATTTTTTTTTTTGTTATACCAAAGTAATTCAATGATCAGAAATTATACACTGTACACAATGTTGTGTGATATCATACTTATTATGTATTATCTTGCTGTATATGTTTCATTTCCGATGATGATGGTAGAAAATTAAGGATGAAAATATTTCGCACCGACAAGCAAAAAACATTCTCTTCCTTAGCTTGGGAATTATTTTAGGTCAGTGCTTGTAAGAAAATCATATTGAAGGAGATAATATGAACGCATTATTACATTTTTAAGTTTTCTTTAAGAACAAAGTTTAAATTATTGTTTTACGTAAAGCCAGCAAGCGATTAAAATATAAAAATTGATAACCTTGTCTATTGACCCAAACTTTAATTAAACTTTATTTTAATTGCAATTGAGTCAACATACGAGATAAGAGAGCTATTTACAGATTAGCGTGATGTATTATATTTTGAAGATGGGGCTTTAAAATGTCAATTTTTTTGTATCAAATGGAAGTAGTTGTTCTCAAAATCTATCAATTTCTCAGACAAATCAAAAATACTTCATACCTTATAATACGAAACAAGAGTTCCAAAACAGAGCTCAATAATCAGAAATATATTTGGTATCAAAGATTGTCAACATGTCAATTGATATCAATATGGAAATGAAACAAAATGAAATCAAGAATGAAAAAAATAAACATCTAATAAGTTTCAAGTACATGGATGTGTGTGAATATGAGTAATAGTAAGAAATGTTTGTGCCAATGAAAACATTTATGAGTAATTTGGTTAGTGCAACACGTTTTGCAAGTGACAAATAATTAATTGCCAATCTGAGCTATTTATTAAAGACCACTATGCAATATAAAGGTACAGAATGGTAAAATAATTAGTGAAGAATGAAAAGGAGTGCAAAATTAAATGAAATTTTAATGAAAGATTGCATTACCAAGGGTAAATGTGAATCCACGAAAGTGAAAAATCATGGAAATTAAATGAACACATTAAATGTTGCTGCTGCAATGCTGTAAAATAAATGAACGGAAATTACATCATACATTATGGCGATGATTAATGGAATGGCAATGAAATCTTCTGAAAATTCAATGATTTTGTTTTCCCCGTGAAATGAGAAAAGTTTGATTTGGAAATAAATGTGAATTAAATGAGCCTTAAAAGTGAAAAAGAATCGATTTGTCTTCAATATTGAATTTGTTTTCTTTGAAATTCTTAAAACAAACAAATTTTATTTGTGAAGAAAATTCAGAAAGTGCAATTTAATCTTAAATAATCCAAAAAAAAAACATAAAATAAAAGAAGATTATTTGTCTGGTAAAGTCAATAATTAATTATGATCACTGCATTTAATATAAAAAGACATCAAGTTTCATACATTAACCATAGCTTTATGCTACATACATCCTTAAATTTTTCGATAAGAGGATTAAGCAAGGATTAAGTCAAGAATAAGTGCAACGTTATAAAAAATTATCAGGAAATAATTTATAATGCAATTAAATATTTGGTTGGTAATTGATTCATTTTAGACCTGATCTGGAATTTAAGTGCCAAAAATTGGCAAAAAATAAAAACTTTCGAGTTAGATCTGGAACAAACCGTGTTAAAATTGTGGCTTTTGTTTCGTGAGCAAATATGTTTTATACAGTCGGAGTTGCCAAAATTTACAAGCTTATGATAGAATTCTATGTTAATGTTCAAATTTCAAGCTCGAACTTTGAACTATTTTAAGAAAATTTTGCTTGAATTGATTATTACTCAACAAGACACAATTCATAAGAATTGATTCTTAATATTTCCGTTAAATTTGTAGCAAATCAGAAATTTATATAATTTTCAATTATCACATAAAAATTTCGGATTATTTAACAATTTCGTTCAGCCAATATCATAAGAACCATTTGACATTTATTCATTCGCTGTCTGAAAATCTAAAAATAAATTCCATTGTGTATTTTAAAGTCCAAAAGAACCAATTTACGTGTTCAACCAGGCCGTGAAACGAAGCAATTCAAACGAAATTCATTTAAGCATATCACTGCTAAAGAATAAATGTGACGAAAGCTTACAAAAAGAATCTTAAAGATGCTTTTATTAAAGCTTTTACTGAAATAAAAAATAAAATTGAAATTTAAATGCGAAAAGTTCCCAGATGATTTTATTAAATTACTTAAACTACGTGACATCTGTGATACTTTAGTGTTCTTACCTATTATTAGCTGACTTTCAGTAAAACACGAAGAATTAAAGTGATTAAAAACTCCCTTTAGTTTCTGAATCGTTAGTCTTTTCATTTAGCTCCGTTTATATTATCTAAACAGACTTCAAGAGAAATTACGTGTAATTATTTATTTCATGATAAACCATTTTTCACTTCAAATCATATAATTAAATCTTTAATGAAATATGTCTGCGAATGTAGGGTCAATTACCTTTCTAATGTTTGTAGCAATAATAAACAGAATAAAATAATGTCATGTAATCCAAAAAAAGAAGAAAATTGTTTATTTTAAGTGATTTGTTTTCGATTCGAAGAAAAAAAGAAGCTTGAAAAGTTTTACTTTTTTATTTTTTGTGTGAACTGGAAAATTTTTGTTCTTCTTTCTTAATTAAAACTTCAAACGAGTGCAATTTAATGTGAAATGTTTAGCACGAGAAAAATAAAGGCAAAAGTTTTAAAAGAATTTTTTCATAGAAAACTTTTAAGACATTCATTCGACATTTAATGTTTTATGTAAAAGAATAGCTTAAGTGACAGTAACATTGCAAGCTATCAAAAGTGAATATAATCATTGGTAAAGCTGAAATTTTTGACGAGTGAATGACTCAGTATAGAAACTTAAGGAATGAAAAGGATTCTTAAAATGTTTAATTTAAAACTTTTTTGAAGCTGCAATCAAAAGTTTAATGTTTTCAAAATATAAAGCAGTTGGATTTACAATCCAAATGATTTTAATTTAAAGAAAACTCATTTATTTTTGGTCAACGCCAACAATTGGAAAGCCAAAATATATTTTAGAATTTTTCAAAAACTTTGCAATTTTTGGCCATTTAAGTTTAGATTAGCTTTTTGTTAATTTTATCAAGTCTAGGTTTCAATATTTAAATAGCAAATTAATCAACTTTTATTATAGCAAAATTCATACTAATGTAATTTTGCTCAATTATTCCTAATTAATATTGATAATATTTTTTTTGAATGCTATACTCGAATGGCACAAGCCGGTTAATCGATCAGAAATCCGGAACTAAACTGTTGTGACTCTGACATGGTGCTGGATTTGAATCAAAGCTATCACCATTCTTGAGTCACGTCGGTTGGTGCCGGACTTTGAATCGATTAACCGACTTGTGACATTCGGGGTAGGAATTGAATAAGAATCAATGGTAAGGAGACTAGAAGCATTGAAGAAATAATCGTATACTTTTAAAGTATTTTCAATAATTAAGCATACATTTACAGAAAATAAATCTAATTTATGCAAATTTTTAAGCAAGTTTTTTGCACATGAAAAGTACAATAAAAATATTATAGTGGGTTGTAGCTATGCACACGTAACATAATCAAAAAATATTATTCCAAACTTTTCATACAAAACAAACATTTATATTCTGCCTTATGAAAGCTAAATTAATGAATGTTGAGTGCAATATTTTAATGAAAACTATTCTATTATGAAATAATAATAATAATATTATGACCAAAAAAATTATAAATCCACAACATCATCAACATCATCACATCATCATCGTCGTCGTCGTCGTCATTATGAAACTTTCTGAAGAGTAAACAATGTGTATGAATATTTTTTTTTCACAAAATATTTCATATGAAAATATTTTTAATACAAGTATTTTGGTATGTAGTCTGAAAGTATGAAAAAAGTGAATTCTTCACATTTTTATGGCTGAACATGAAAAATTCAATTTAATATATGAGAGAGTTTTTTTTTCTTTTTTACTCAGTACGTGTTATTTTAAAAGCACATATGTATATAAATGTATAATCCGTCGAAAATCCTCAATTTTTCTCCAATCAACATTGACATGAGTTATACTTTACAATATAAATCTACTTACGTAAATGTATGTACGACAGTCAGGATTTACAAGAAAATGGTCTTCAATGTCGCTTTTTCTTCTTCTTGACACATAGCAATCACACCTCAAATCTGTTACAAAATTAATAATAATCTTTCATACAAAAGAAAAAAGCTGTCTCCGAACATCATTAAAAGGGATTCGGAAAGGATGGATAAATAAATGAAAGAGAGCGAAGACGAAAAAGTTTTTTATGACAAGCACCATAAATTTTCAACCCCTTTTTGCTTTCTTACTCTTTACCCATTGCCATTTCCAACTCTTCCATTCAATCTCATTACACGTAAATACCGAAAAAGCCATAAAAGCCATTCATGAAAAACCCGAGTTGAACACAACAAAAATCCTGAAATATTAAAATTGTTTTCTGTCATTTTTATCCGAAAAAAGCCACACTCGTTTATACATATGAGCATGCTTTATAATAAAGTATAAAACATACATACAATACCGTTGAGGACACATCTCTCATTTCTTTCCTATTCAATACAACTATTATTATTATTATTATTTGGAACTGAATGGATGGAATCAAAAGAATTTCTACATTGATATGAAATGAATAAAAACTCATTTCCCAATTGAATATTTCAGGAAAATCGATAGACAATAGTCTGACACAAAATTATCAACCTTTAGAATATGAAAATCCCTCATCACTTCCTAAATTCATATCAAGAGGACAATCCTATCGAGCTGTAATAGATGATACAATAGTTTTGCCATGTGCAACACAAGATTTAGGTTTGTATATAAAATTTTATTATTACTTTATTATTTCTTCACAATACAATTTTCTGATATAACAACTTTAATGAATAATACATAATGATTGACAAGGGAAAATTTTATTGAAATGTAATTAAGTCTCAATCTGGCTAGATCTGGGTGAAAATTTAATTTTGCGTAGATGAGATTTTAAAGTAAAAGCTGTGGCTGTATAAATAAGAACAAACTTTTTAAAAAAAAACATCTCAAGGCAAATAAATGTTTTTGTTAACAAATTTGAGTAGGCAACAATGTTTAAATGCAGCATAAAAATCTTTAACATGTTTTGTTTTTTTTTTTTCAATTTTTCTAGAAAATTTAAGTTGAAGATTAAAATTAAATCCGAAGTGTGGGCCAGTAAAGGCTATTCATTTTAAAGTACACGAGTCAATTAAAAGTTTTTCATTTTAATTTCCAGTACCAAAACATTCATCAATAGACTCATGACGCAAATGTTAGTTTCCAAGAAATATAAGAAATTTAAACAAGCTCAATGACAGCCTGTGTGGGATTATTAAAAATTTAAAGTTTACTTTACAATTTAGGCACATCATTAACCAAATTTGTAAGAACTCATTTTATTAAGAAAAAGAGTATTTTTGTGCTTGAGTAAAATTCAAGATGGTAAGCATTGTCTTCCGGGAGCTTATTTACACATAATAATATAACTCCGTGGGATTTCGTTAATAAAAAAGCCACAACCTTAAATGTAATAAAATTTTAATCTAATTTTCTCCTACAAAAACCATTAATAGAAAAGTTTGCAAGCTTCTTATTTTGATTAAAATCTACAAAAATATTCAAAGTCAATTACCAAAGTTACGCTTTGAACAACATAAAAAATAGCTTCAATCCCATATCAAAAACAAAAAAAAAGTGGGCTTAGGCACCAACAAAAATTTCTTTTAGCTACGCTAATCACTAAGCTTGTCTTTTCACACTTCATTACTTTCATTCTGTCAGCATAGGAGACGATGGGAAAATCCTACAAGTCAATTGTTGCTCATGTCCTTGTCAAAATTTGTTTGCTCTTCTTTCTCTTTCACTCTTTCCGTAAAGAATACAATTTTAACGCTCAATTTCCCAATAGGCAACAGAAATATCACATTGAATATTTATTCGTGTTGTAATCAAACTGAATCAACTCCCACACGTTTAGATATATGCATTACAGTATTTATCTATTTTCAGGTAGTAACATTTTATTATGGCGTCGAGGCAGTTCTGTTGTGACTGCATCAAATTTGATGATAACACGCGATCCACGCTTCCGTTTACTCGACGAATATAGTTTACAAATTAAAGGCGTTCGGCCACAAGATGCCGGTGACTATATATGCCAAATAGGAGATGCCGAAAATAGAGACTTAGTGCATACAGTAGAAATATTAGTGCCACCAACAGTGAGAGCTCATCCAGAGACGGGACATGTGACTGCACGAAAGGGTAGCTCCGTAACATTAGAGTGTAAGGCATCAGGAAATCCCGTTCCGAATGTACACTGGATTCGAGTCACAAAACGAGTGAGTAAATGGAAATGCATACCTTTTTGATTTATATTCATAGCACACGTACAACTTAATTAATTTTTATTTCTGTTGCAATCTTCATGTGTTTTATTTTTTCTTTCTTTTGTTTATTTCCGCATAATTTTATTTCCTAGGAACATCTCTCAGATGCTCCACGACTTTCAGAAGGTCCAACATTAACGTTGGAGCACGTGGAAAGAAAATCAAGTGGAATTTATCGCTGTGTAGCTGACAATGGTGTACGAGATCCAGTTTCCATAGATATGCAGCTAACAGTGTTGAGTAAGTAAATACTTGTTCTCTACTTTGTTGATGCAGGAAGCTTGGTTTGGTCCAAAACATTAATAATAAAACCTACCATTTTGTCTCAGGATAGGTTTTAGTCCTGTCTGGGTTTATAAACCTAGAAAATATTAATGTCATTTTAAATGTGTTTAGATCTTATGTCTTTTACGTCATTTAGTCATTTGAGCGTCTGAATCAGATAAAATTTATTTTAAAAACCTCTTTTAATTAAAAATGCCAAGGGAAGTGTCCATCTGCACAGAAACAATTTCCTAAAAGCTTGCTAAAATAATATAAAAATAAAACATGAGCATGAGATTGAACTGTTGTAACATTCAGCAGCTATAAAAAAATCCCAGCACGAATAAAAAAGAAGTATAGAAAAAAAAAGGATTTAAAAGAAAGATAAAAGCAGAAAGCAAAAAGATTTGGTCTTCAATAATTCATTTTGTTTCAGGTCCACCGGAGTTGGAAACAGAAAGAGCATGGGTGCATGCTGGGGAAGGTCAGTTTGAACTTTAAATTGCTTCTAAACATTTCATCCAACCATTTGATGAACTCTTTTCCCTTTCATGTCGTTTATATGACATTGTAGGTCACGAAGCACAGCTTGTATGCATTGTTCATGGTGAAGCCAATCCAGAGGTAAATAATTGAAAACTTTTTTTCATTCGTTCATATTATTATTATTTTATGCATGTATATGTTGTATGCCTACTTGTCGTTCTTTACCTTTTACTTTTGGCATATATTGTTCGTTTCCCTTTATTTTATTTTCCCGTATATCGTCACTGCCATCGTATAAAAGGATAAAATATTTTTTGCCAAGAATTATTTATGAACTTTACTTAAATATTCTACAGAATTTTTCATGAATCACGTTTTTTGTTCTCACTAACTCCTTCAATTTTATATTCCACTTTTTTTTACCTTTACTCCTTGCCTGCATGCTGCTGTTATATCGATGAAATTTTTGTGCTTCTCCTTTTCTGCATATTTTTACATCAACAATAAATAAGTTTTTTATGTTCCACTCCTTTTTTTCAATTACAGTTAATGTGGTATCAAGACTCTTTCCTACTCGATCCAACTGACAGACGAACAATGGATTCTCGTGGAGATCGTCATATTCTTACAATAAGAAACATTCAGCAGTCTGATTTTGGAAATTACAGGTAACTAATATCTACAATTTTGTATTTGACAATAGATATGGAAGCAACATAATAGCATGAGAACAAAGCATTCAACGACAATAATAGCAATGATTATGAATGGACGATACTTGACATATAACATTTTTTATTGAAAGGAAGTAATCAAAAGAGAGAAAAATTGTTCAATAAACTCTCAGCACTTCTCTTTCAAGAGCACTCTTTATATTCATTTATCGCATCGGTTTATTGTCTGCTGCTAATGGATTCTTCGAACATCCTATTGTCGTTAATATTTCTACTTGAAATTTTCATAGATTGATTCAATTTGCTTTTATTTCTTTATTTCTCTCCTAGCTGTGTTGCTGACAATGCATTAGGACGAGCAAAAAAATATATTGAAGTCTCGGGAAGGCCGGGACCAGCACAATTTCATTCTCCACTCTATAGTCGCTCGCGGGACGTTTATAATCTCACGTGGAGTATAGAAAGTATTCCCAAATTAGAAGAGATTCGTATTTTGTACAGAAAATTGATGGTGAGTTGAATATTTCAACAATTCAGAGCTTTCATTCATACTCTTCATTAAAGTAGATGCTTTTGTTATAACAGAGTGAATAAATTTTGGTATATTTAGACTCCTCTGTTATGAAGAGTTTGTGTTTCCTCATTAATATATTTATATCTAATTCAGCAATGAATAAATATTACTTAAATAAAGAACAAAAGGAAACGAGAAAGTGCTTTAAGCAAAATTCTTAAATTCATCATTTTAACCTACGCACATTTACATTTTACGGCTCAACTACTTACCAATTCTTTACGATTGAATTAAATTTCTCGTTTTTATTAAAATTTAAATATTTTGATTTTTTTTTGTTCTTTTGAAACTTCTGAATTCTTAGTGACATTAAAAATGACAAAAAAGCTAAGTTCGAGAGCTTTTTTTTTTGAAGCAAAAAATGTTTATAAACTTTATTGCATAAGAAAAATAAGAAGCCTCTGTGTGGCAGTTATTTGTGTCGCATGGGTGAAAAATTTAAAATTGAATTGCCAAAATAAAATACAATTTCATACACGATTATGATGTTAATTTGATTTTACTAAGCTTATCTTTCCATCTATTTTTTATGGGAACCATTCATTCAGTAAGCCATTTAGTCAGTAGAGTAAACATAACAACAGAAATACTGTAGCAAAAACACAATCCTCATCATCAACACAATCATCATCTCAACATAATTTAACCACTTTATTAGGATGAAAAATCATTTTATTCTATATGTTTGAGAATCATTTTCACAAGACCAAAATGAAATTATAATATTTTATTATACACACCACTACACCACTACTCAACGAGATATTTCAGATCAGTTAAATCAAAAGCAGATGTTGAGATGGTTTAGAAAAATAAAACAAAATTATTTCCCATCTTTTATTTGTGCGTGTGGTGTAGTGTGAGGAATAATTTTATTGCAAATAAACAGCTTAGCATAAAATTTTTATTCTCACTACATCAAATTTGCCTCAAGTTATTCGTTACTGCTGTTGCGTGTTTCTTATGGTTTTAAAATTTTCTTTATGTTTTTTTTTATTTCCATGTTCATGATTTTAATTTTAAATTTTTCTTCTCGCCTACATTCCAATTCCTATTATTTCTGTTAAATTGAAAAGGATTTTAAAATTTACATAATTTATTTTTCTTTTCCTTGTCAATAGATGAATGAAACTTATCAACAGCCTGGGAGATGGCATGAATTGGTTTTGACACCGCCTCATACTCGACAGGAGACTCCTCATCATTTCATGGTAAATTAATATTATGTATATTTTGATCATAGTATGAGCTATTATTCAGTTTCTATTTATTTAATATTCTATTGATGAACAAATCCTTCAAAACATAAAGCGTCTAAATTTGAATTTTTCTCTATAATTAATGCGATTATTTCTTTCTCATTCCAAAAATTTCTCGTCTGTATTGATAAAATTATCAAAAAAACTTATTAATAATAACAAACAAACAACCATGATGATGATGCCGCCAACGATAATGATGGTGCTTACAGACATATACAATAAGAGGCTTAGAAAACAATTCCGTTTATGAAGCAATTGTTCAAGCTAAAAATCAATATGGGTGGAATGAGGTAAAATTATAGCATATTTAATAAAAGACTAACATCCTGAATCAGTGCAAAATGATGGTCGACATTTAAAACCTATAAAATGCGTCTTAGTCACTAGCGATATTGTCAATTTTCCATTATTATTTTCTATGAAATTTTTCATATTACATTAAATGAATTAGTAATCATGTTCGCTAGGATCATTACAAATTGTCGACCAGCAGTCAGCCATAACTGAATAAAAATGAAAAAAATAATGAATAATTTAAATATTAATTAATTTTTTTATGTTCCTCCATCCCCCAATAGGTTAGTGATATTTATCAGTTTTATACCCAAAGTAATAACTTAATGATGACCGAGGAAGAAGTTGAAATGGCCGTGCAGTCGGAATTCTCTGTTGGAAATAGACTACAATTAAGCACTTCCATATGTTTGCTTTTAACTTTCCTAATAGCTATTAGAGGTATTGATTAAATATATGGAACAATATTACATGTAAGTTACTGACTCTATCACCCCAGAAAAAAAAATACATTGTGTTGCTTTTATTGCTTCAAACCCAAAAATTATGAATAGATTGAGAAACAAATGAGTTTTTATGATTTATCGATATGATAAAAAAAAGAGACATTTTTGTTGGGATTTCAAAATGAAAAGCTTTATACACACGTAGACACTTAATAAATACAAAAATACGACAGAAAAAGCATGCAAAGAGAAGGAAATATTTTCTGAAATGGAAAAGGCTTTTATCACATCTATACCATCTTTTATAATGAGATATGAAAAAGACAAACAAAATGCTAGAGATTTGATTAATGCTTCTGAATGATTATGAGATCTCTTTGTATACAAATGAAATGATAAATGCTCCAAGACCTTTTTGAGTTCATATCTGTTCGATAACACCCTTTCTTGTTATTTCGTCTCATTTTCTTTAAACAGAATATATTTATAGATATTAGTTGATAGCCTGTCAGAGTTAGAAAATGCCTGACAGATATAGACTCTATGGAATTCAATGATTGACTAATTTTAAAATTAGCTATGCTTGATTTATGAGGTTGCTTAAAACCGCATTTCTAACCCTGCAACAATTTTTAAGGTTTTCTCTCCTGCATATCAAAATAATTTATTAAATTTTCATTTCTGATGCTTCCTTCTTAATTAACAACAATTTTCTGTTTATTCATAGCAAAAAAAAAATGTTTTTGTAAATTAAACGAGATAAAAATGTTCTGTAAATAGAAAAACTAGGAAGGAAATGATGAAAAATTTTAGGATAAAATGAGAGAATGAGATTAAAACATTTTCCCGTTAGTGCTGTAAATTAGTGATGTAAATATTTATCTTTGTACTTAATAAAAATAATAAAGCAAAAAACTTATAATGATGAAGATGGAATTTTAGTGTAAGGTAAATAGTAATATAAGGATTGGATTAAAAATTATTTTAGCAGTAGTGACGATAGAAACATTGAACAATTTTTTTTTTCTGAAAAAGGATGTAAAAAATTTTACCTGATATACAAAACTATGTAACTATAATAAGTGAATTTTTAACTATGAAATAGACAAAATGGATTCTAGGAAATAAAAAATAGGGACAGTCAAGACATTTTAAAGCTGCTTTTGAACATAAAACAACTTTCAAACTTTTACATTTTTTTTAAAAAAAGGCTCTCAACAAAGAAAAAGTTAAAGGTAAATGCCCACCGGTCATGTCTTACCCTTATTCAAATTAATATGCTCAGATGTCAACAGAAAAACAAAAAGAAACTTCACTAATGTAAAATTCTGACCTTTTATTCTACTCAATTAATTGACAATAATGCCAAAAGCATGTTGAAAAATTGTCTAAAATAGCAGACCTGAGGCTAGGATGGGGGTGCTTTTCTCAAACTTAAATGATTCAAAGTTATTTGAGGTTAAATATTTTTAAATGAGCTTTTTTTTTGCTTAAAGCTCTGATAACACTACTGCAATGCTGATATATGCTAAAATTAGAATTTGAGACAAAGCATTAGATGCCTTATTCAAATACTGATTGGTTCAGTTTTTTGTAGAAATCTTGGAGATATCATGAAGCATTTAGCTTGATCTTCCGTAAACAGACATCATTTTCAATAGATTTCCTTATTTACCTTGACCTATGATTAAGTTGATGACCAGAAAACATCTCATTAGTCCACGATGATGTGATTGCTTATTAAAAGAGTCTTGACTTTTATCCTTTTATTACTTAAATCGAGACCAAAAGATTCAAAATGAATCCGTTTTTTCTGTTTCATAAAAATTCATTTTTGTGAGAGAAAAATAAAGGAAGAACTCAATTTTATTTTTAAGTTTACCATAAGCGACGAAAAAGATAATAAAAAATGTACAATAAGAAAACTCTGACAATACTTTTTTAAGCATCTTTTAATATTTATTATACAGCTCAGCATTATCATTTTCATCCGCAAATTATAATCAATTATAATCACGAATTTTGAATTGTGAACGCAAACAAATGAAAATGTCAGCTCAATAGGTAAGTATGTAGTTCTTCCATTTTAAAATACACATATAAATAGCACACATTTATGATATATGAATTTATTGTCGGTTGAGTTGTTTACCATTTCAGTAAATATGGATAATTTATTATTTTTTTCCGTACAGTTTGCAACACACAAAATGTATTCATATATAATGTATAGTACATAAATGTCTCGCTAATGTCAACAAAACACTTCAATTAAACCACCAAAGGATATAACGCAAATTTACATACAAAAAACCAAAATTGCAGGCTCACAGATATATTCATAAGCATTTTTTTTTAATAAAAAATTATAGTATAAATAACAGTCTGTTGCAAAAAATTTTCATATAAAAATGCATTGTAATTTAACGGTTTTTGAGATCAAAAATTTTTAACGGTAGAAATAAATTCGAATTTATAAACGATCTCATCACGTGTTTTTTCATATGAAATATAAAAATCATTAATTATAGTACAAAAACACTGTTTCAAGACCTTTAAAGGCTGTTCCCGAAAATAAAACAATGGACCTGAGCTAATAAAACAAACCAGAACTCTCTACGATGTCTAGTTAAAAAGTTTTTCTCCGCCCGAACGAACGAACAAAGTGAATTATTAAGCTACCTTTTCGAAACAAGTTTCAAAAATGCGCTAAAAAGAATTGTTTTAACAACAAAATTTTTTAATATTCACACCGTATTCACAAAAAATATTCAGTGAATTTTCTAAATGTTGTTGAGTTCTTATTATATTCAGTAGAACAACTAAGCCATTTACAATTATTTGACAGCATGAATAAAGAACGAATTAAAGAGGATATGATTGATTTTAAATTTTGCATTTTGATGGGAGTTGGTTTCTATTTGTTTCTAACTTCACTTTTCCTTATAAAAATACAAAATTAATTAGAGATAATCGCCCTTGCTGAATCAAAAAATATGTTCTTATCAAACAGCAGCAAAAGGGAGTTTATGTGCATTATTCTGTTAAAAACTTTTTTATTTTAAAATTTATTACAGAAGTGAAGACTTTTAATAAATTTAATTAGATTTCATAACTAAGCCATAAACAAATTTAAGCTAAATGTCTTACCTTAAATAAATTATGATTTCCATCATGTACAGATTTAATGCTTTCATCATACTAAATCCCATGCATTTAATTTATGAGTAATGTTCTAAAGGTTTATCTGAAAATTACGCATTATGATGTGAAATAAATTTCTTTAATTTTCTCTCATTTATGTTCTTAATATTATTATACATGAATTCAATGCAAACAACAGAATACATTTAGCCTCCTTTCTTTCATCACCAGCGTCGTCATCATCATGTACTGAGTATTGCTGATCAAATTTATTTCTGCCTGGATACAGAAAGCAATAATTCATAAAGTTATAACAGAAAACACGAGAAAAATATGTTTCACTTCAATGCTCTTGATGGTTGGATGTTATTTATTGCGCTTTCAGCAAAAACTTTTACTTCTTCTTAGTTCTTATTTTCCCTTTCTAGCTCATGGTCAAAGACTCTTTGTTAATCGTTAAATTTATAGGCTTAATGATTACTGTGCATGATTTCAGTTTCATCGAGAAAGAAATTTTTCTGTTAAGAAGCCAAAAGTGACTTATATCATGAAGTGTTTATGATACGTATACCATTTCTAAATCTAAATATTATTTTGTGTAACCTCATTCATTCAGTCATTTCCTTCTTCTTTTTTCAATTCTAGCAAATGTTAAACATAAATTTTATAATGCTATAAAATTATGACGTGAAATTAAGGAAACCGCGTTGAATTAATTTCTGTAATCTGATAAGAAATAAGTACTATTAAAGGCACTGACTGCTAAATTTCAATTATCCATAATTGCGAGAAAGCTTAAAGTAAATTGAATGAATGTGAAATGTGTGATATTTTTTGAAATTGAATAAACGAGACGAAATTAAAAAGAAGGGGAAATAAAGCAAATTAAAAAAAGGAGAGTAAGCACATTAAGAGAGTAAGAAGGTCATTTATTATTCTTAAGCTATTAAGAGTTGCAAATTCAACATAATTTCAGAGAATTTTTCTTATGCTTCGTGCTTACATAATAACAGAAATAACATTAGATTTTAATGAAATTCAGATGTGCTTTTTTTCATATGATTATGGCATTTATTTTTATTTTTCCATCTATTTGAATTATTCAACTTATCATTAAAGCAGTTTTTTTTTTAATTTTTTGTTAATATTTTTTTGAGAATTTATTTTAAAAATTTTTCGAATTGAATCAAACAAGCCAGATCGTTTATCTTGTGTTGCTTTTTTTGTACAAATTGATTTTAAGAATGGTTGGCTGTAAACCTTGCCATCTCTTGCCTGAATGTGGTGCTGCCACCTTACAGACGAGGTTGTTAAGCTAGGCTTTTAATTTATCCTTTAAATTAATTCCCAGTAATTCCGGCACAGGAATCGATCGCCAGCGATGTATTAGCGGTATCAAGGGATATCACGAGAAGGTAAGCACTTGACATTTGGTCAGCTTCGGAGTCAGACTTCGACTTTCCCAAAAAAATCCAGGTCTTATCAGATCACATTAAATTCCGCAAATTTGGACCGATTTTCAATGTAGCCGATATGACCTTCAACAACTCTATAGTAGCTCCCTAATCACTCTCACATATTTCTGTATAAAACACAAATGTTTTTATATAATAACTTGTAAATACTAATATAAATTATATAATAATATTTTTTTCCCCAATACAGCTACTTCTATGCTTGAATTATATAAAATTTGAAATCATCCTCTGCTCTAAAGTTTGACCTCCTCCCATACTTGACGTGTTTTCATCACATTTTTTTATTAACTCCATTATATATTTTCAAGAGAATTAAATTTATGCGATAATGCTCTCCTATAAGACTTCTTCTAATTTAATTTCATTTTTTTCTGTTTCTTTCAT